CATACAGGTGAAACTCGAATAATTAGAATATCGTGCAAAGTTCATTTATTTCACTAATGCAACTTAAAAGGTGAAACTAATATATGAGATAGACTCATTACATGCAAAGCAAGATAGTTCAAGCCGTGATTTGTCATAATTGTGATGATTATGGCTTACAGCTCATGAAAACCCCAAGAACCCCAAATCCACAACCTCAAAAAAGTAGATTATTACATGCAATCAATAAAACAAGGATTGTACATAGAACAATATCGGACCTCTGAAAAGTACAAGCATGCATATGTACTCAGTACTTGGTTTGGGCCCCTTTTGCAGCACTTACTGCCATTACTTTTGCACGATATTCTAATTATTCGAGTTTCACCTGTACATACGTCTACATAGACCTACAAGAGCCACAAAGAGGAAAGAATTTTAGTTATGTAAATGAAGGACAGTCAGGGACTATCTACTTCCCAACATGTCTGGCTTAAGAAGGAATCAAAACAAAAGAGGCTGAAGGTCACCATAGGACCCCCAAATGGGTATTAAAATAATTAATAATGACTTAGTTGGTATGCACATGAGCAAAATGGGGAGCTTAGCAATAAATTGGTAGTGGAGCCATATTAGAGCTATGGTTGCATTTACATGCTAGAACATTATCATGATTCATGCACAGAAAGTAGCGTTCTGTTCAACCTGCCAAGACAGGAGGTAAGGTTTGGTTGGTGACTCGGGGTTGCCTTTCGGTTGCTCTCTCCCAGGCATTTACATTTTTTAAGCTCCTTGTATCTAAAGCCAAAACGTTTTGTCAGGTTTGTTTTGTATCTCGTTGGGGAAATTTCGCTTCACTTTCTGTCCTGTAGACGCAATAGGAAGTTAGAGGAAATCTCTCCAAAATGAGAAGACATTCTCCCTTAGTTGTCACCACAACAAGTGTTTCCATTGGAAGACTATCCCTCTGTTCTTCTTCTTTTATCCAACTCCCCATTTTGGATTGTTCATTTCACTCCTTGTACCATAGGCTACCAGAACAAATAAAGAAGGTTAATCTTCCCAGTGGGGGAGCAGACAGCAGTACAGATGTGGCAGAGGTTCTAACCCCTTACAGCTCAAAACAATACAAAACTTAAAACAATTTTCCATTTAGGCGTCTGTGGCTCCAGCCTGTAAATCTTAAAATGAAACCTTAAAGTGTAACTCTGGCCAAGTTCTGGACACTCAAATAGTTAGAAATTCCTAACTAGCAGTAAATGTACTTTATAACAAGCCCTCATTGTGGAGCATATCAGAGCAGGATCAATGAAGATTCTTAGCAGCTCTTATCAAAAAACAATGGCACCTCAGCTCACCCTGCTCCTCCCTCACAGCAGTGACTCTTCAGTTCCCCCTGCTCCTCCCTCCCAGCAGTGACTCCTCAGCTCACTCTGCTCCACCCTCTGAGTGGTGACTCCTCAGCTCACTCTGCTCCTCCCTCCGAGCAGTGACTCCTCAGCTCACCCTGCTCCACCCTCTGAGTGGTGACTCCTCAGCTCACCCTGCTCTTCTTTCCAGGCAGCAACTCAACAGCTCAGCTCACCCTGGGTCGCATCTTCTAGCAGTGACTCCACAGTTCTTCCTACTTCTACCTCCCAACAGTTGGTGTACATTGCATGGTACAAACCCCTTAATACCATTTTAATTCCAGGTTGTAATGCAATAAAACAGGAAAACACCAAGGGTAGTGAATACTTTTGCAAGCACACAATAAAACAAGGCACTGTACTAACACCAATAATGCTATTTTCAATTAGTATCTATGAAAACATGAAACTCTTAGGCAGTACAGTACAATGGTTCTGCTGCTCTCACACATACAAGCATTAGGAACCCAGTGAAGTCAATGAGGTTACTGAACTCTGTTACAATTCATGGAAGAGTGGGGTACATGGTATCATTACGAAACTGCAGTATTATGTTGAGTAAGAAGTTCCTCTTTCTGGCTATATTTAAAAATAAAATATTGCTCTGAGTTTCACTGACCTAATGCCTTGGAGGAGATCACGTGGTCCCTGGCTACATGTGGATGTTTTGCAATCTGTACATAGAAACTTACAGGGCTTTCACAAAAAAGTGAAGAGTTTGGAGAAGGCAGGGGAAGTGAACAATCTAGGACAACATCGCTGATTTGGAAACATTCTCCAATTCAGCTCACTTTCCATTCAGCTATGTTGTCCTAGATTGTTCACTTCTCCTGCCTCTTCCAAACTCTTCACCCTTTTGAGGATAGATAGATAGATAGATAGATAGATAGATAGATAGATAGATAGATAGATAGATAGATAGATAGATAAGAGAGAGATTACCTATAAAATCATATTCCGCTGCCCTTATACCCCCATTGAACTTTGGCAACTCCATAGAAGGGCCCAGTTGATTAGTAACTGAATAAGAGGCCCTGGACCTCCTTGATAACCTGGGCCCCAGGATTCTAATTTTAACTCTGATGGCCCCCCATTGTCCTTTTGAGACCACATACAGTCTTCATGGGTGGTATCTCTGCCCCCACTCATTTATAAGACCATCAATGTCTAGACCCGAGCCCCTCATTTACCTTCAATGTGGTCATTCACTTGGCAGCTTAACATCCATGATCCAGCATTAGATGGCATCATCTCCACTGTGACGAACGTGGCAGGGAACAGATTAATGACGTCAGTTCTGTGGCCTTGGTTGGTGACTGTTTGCCCATGAAAGAAGGCTGAATGGATATCCACTTCATTACCAATGCCAAACAAATGCCAGGACACTGAGTCACCAACACACATGTTTATAGCCGGGAGGTTTCCATACAAATATCCATTAATTGCTGAAAATAACATATAATAAGAAAAATAATCAGGGGACAACATTTACAAAAAATGTAAGCATTCAACCAATGCAGGGCTTATATAGACGGGCATTAAAAGGCCTCACTTCATGCTGGGCTCCACACAGTTGGATTGCCGCTACCACCGGCATTTGTTCATGACGCCCACACAAAGCGTTTAGAGTGTAGGTGTGCTAGCTGTTTTGCTGCTTGCAGTGAAAGCCTTGTCCTCAGCAAAACAGCTAGCATGTACTCATTCCCTTATAGAGTCAAAGCCTTATACTAGCCATACACATTTGTATGTCTCTCGTTCTCTAAACGAGAGAAATTAATCAATCTTCATCGGTTTATTTTATTAAGACAGCCGTCACCTGCAGCAACTAGTCAGCTTACCTGACTTACTTTTAAACCTTGATGATAAAAATGGCCATTCTGCCCATTAAAGATGGTTAGGATTAAAGAGGAATTTTACACACCAATTTAATGTCTCCCAAATGAGTTAATTTCGAGGCATACCAACTGTCAAGAGGTGTGTTTAGTTGTTCAGCCGCTGCAAGTGCTGCGTTAGCAAACTTCCGCTGAACGCTGTACTGTAAGTCAGTGCTCAGCACTTCTAACGTAGCACTCGCAACGGAAGTAAATGCAGAGTGTGACGGAGAGGGTGGGGACAGAGAACCAGCGGCCATTTTAACTGTGGACACACCTGACAGCGCTGGAGAAAAATGTCTGAACCTCGATGGAGGAAATCACAATTCAGTGTGGGAACCTACAATTTAATGTTTTGGTGGACGAGCACACCAAATATTCGTTGATAAATGTATTAGTCAAAAATATTATCCTCCGCCATTTTGCTTAGCACCGTGCAGCCAAGGCATTCAGTGAAGCTGCTGCAAAGAACTTAAATGCTGCAGAACAGCTACTCAGCACTTGACTAAGGAACGGAACATGCCTATGGTTTCCAGTGTGCTTATTTCAGCTCTGGAGCTGCAACTAATTATTATTTTCATCGTAGATTAGTTGGCCGATAATTTTTTTTTATTAATCGGATAAAAAACATTAAATAAATACCATCCATGATTTAAAATAAAATACACAAATAAAGTGTTACACAAATAAAGTTTACTTCAGAATAAAACTGCATGCACAATTTTTTGCAATTGCACTGCACTGGAACACACGCCATTGCGGTACCATGTGTTCCAGTGGGGGCGATCAAATTGTGGGATGAATGAATTGCACTGCAACGCACCCACCGCAGCAGAATTTGTCAGGCAGAAACCGAAAATTACTTTTTTCTCATCTTTTAAACATGTTGGGGTTATAATTGTACTGTAAGCACATGGCACTTGAATAGCTTCAGCCACAGAATGGCAGCTGCCGGTGGCAAGATTCCGCTGGGGACAGCGGAATGTAAATACAACAGGTAGTGGGATGGTGCAATAGCCAGCCTGCTATTGGCCATTTCAAATTGCAATAGCCAATAGCAGGCTGGCTATTGCACCCGCCCATTGCTTGCTGTGCCCTCCTCCCAGCATGGAGGAGAGAGCTAGGGGATCCAACCAACTAATCGATAATGAGAATAGTTGACAACTATTCTCTGAATCGATTATTTGACTAGTTGGTTGCAGCCCTATTCAGCTCTCAAATTAACTTTCCAGCTCTAAAATGGCTGGTGTCATAGCTTATCACATGTGCAGCACCATGGCCACTAAAATCCAAATAGAGGCTAAGATGGAAACTTCTTTAGATATAAGGGATAGAAGGGTATAGTTCCACTTTAAGCACTGCCCCTACCCCTACCCTCTACCCTGCGTCATTCAGCTGTCAAATGCCAGAACATCAGTGAGCAATAGAGAGGTTCTATCAGCTGAAAGACATGAAATGTGGCAGAGCACCAGGCAGGGAGGCTTGATTTTAACTTACAGAGAGCCTGTGAACAGCCTGGGCTTGGGATCAAGGGAGCTCCACAGGGACACAGGGATTGCTTTGAGGACTAACACAGATATATAAAGGCACCACAAGGTTCCTGCACTTCAGCAATGTTGTTAGTTTAATGACATTTCAGACCAGGTCATGTTTACTTTAAATAGTCAAAAGTCTCAGGAAATATTGGAAAGTAATGATGTGTTTTCTGCCCACAGAAGACAAATTTCATTGTTTGCCTCCTTTTGTCCAAAATGGAAGATTACCTCAAACCAACCCCACCATGAGGTAAAGTAAGGATTCAGACTCAGACCCTGTCTAATAAAAAAACAATACATGCCACTCTGTGGCCCCTCAGCTGGCTCTTAATGCAATGATCTCAAATGAAACAAGGTACAGTCTGTAGGATCTGTATTGTAGTATTTTTATTTAGATGAGCACATTGCCATGAATGGCTGAGATTGCTGGTAGGTGGGGCGTATTATGAGTATTGTGGCTACAATAAAGCAAGGAACTGCCCTGCCAAAATACACCATTAGCAAATATTTCCATGTTTGCAACATTGTGGATATTTTACAATACATAGTTGTGAATGTTGTTCTCTTTTTCATAATGGTGGCCCTTTAATGCATTCTGTAGGTAATCTACAGCCCCTTTGCATTAGTTCTCATTGCTCACCATGCATCTTGTTGCTCTCCTGAAAATCTTCATCCTCCACGTCTACCAAGTCTGCTTCTGAACAATATTTCTGAATGTTCTCCTCTAGGTACCAGCTGAAATTTTCATCAACAACGCTAAACATCAGCACAAAATCCTTATCCACATCCAGCCGATTTAATGAACTGTCCAGAGTACCTGCATGAGATCAGTACAAGAAAAAAAAGGTATTAATTGGAGTTTCTGATCGTGTGGTGAAGCCAGATCCCGGTCACCATTTACAGTAAAACCGAAGGGCTGCTGTACGCACTATTCACTATAGCCCGTACAGCTCCCGAAGTTGGCCAAGGAGCTCAGTCGAGTCTAAGGCATATGCTTCGGCTCGACTGAGCCAAGGTAAAAGATGAAGCTGGCCGCATGGTCGGCCGACAGCCTGCTACTGACTGCTGGGCGGAGCCAGCCGTCTTCTCACGGCTGGCTCCGACCACTTGCACAGACAGATCAGCGTCCCTGGTTATCAGATAAGCAGGGACCCTGATCTCCAGACAGCCCAACTCTCCCGGACGCTCCGGTAGTCTCCCGCTACATATACATAGCTACATTCCTATTGGCTATTTCAATTTGCAATAGCCAATAGGAATCTAGCTATTGCACCCGCCCACTGCTGCTGTCAATCAGCAGAGGGGACCTGAAGTTCTCCATCAGGTCCCCTTCTAGTGATTGACAGCAGCAGGGGGCGGGTGCAATAGCTAATTTGCTATTGGCTATTGCAAAGTGAAATAGACAATAGGAATCTAGCTATGCATTCCTATGGTGTTTTTTATTCTGACGGCAGCAGAACCGCCCGGCCAATAGAAGACAGTGACAGCTAGCTCCGCCCAATTCTACTTTTTTAACTGCTTTTCTATTCTGCTCGGTACCCCTTCCTCTTCACGATACCAACCAGGGCACATGCCCTAGGCATTGGGAGGGTGCTTTTCCAGGGGGTAACTCCCTGGAAAAGATCCTTGTCCCCATGCCGATGGGGAGAAGGGCCTCTTCCCCACAACCCTGGCCTGATGGTTTTGGGGGTCTGCGGGCAGGGGGGCTAATCTGCATCTGGGTACCCCATTTCATAAAGGGGGCAACCAGATGCCCCCCTTGTGAATGAGTAAGGGGTAATTGTACCCCGACTCATTCATGAAAGAGTTAAATAAAATGTAAATAAATACACAACAACTTAGAAAAAAAATACTGTAATTGAACACAAAAACACAACACAGTTTTGTTTTTGGTTCAATTAAGTTTTTGCCAATTTCTTTTTGCCAATCTCGACCCCCAGAAAAAAAAATACTCACCGCTGGCTGCCGGATACAATGTGTACATAAGCCAGTGGGCAGAAATAAACAAAGCCTGCTTTTGGTTATTTAAAATTGAAATAGCCAATAGCAGGCTGATTATTGCTCCCGCCCACTGCCTGATGTCAATCACAGAGAAGTGGACCTAAGAGAGAAAATTTTGTCTCTCAGGTCTGCTCCTCTGTTGACTGACATCAGGCAGGAGAGGAGCAATAGCCAGCCTGCTATTGGCTATTGCAATTTAAAATAGCCAATAGCAGAATGGCTGCCGCCCACTGCCTTCTAGCAGTCCGCTCCTCTGCTGATTGACAGAAGGCAGTGGGCGGAGCAATAGCCAGCCTGCTATTGGCCATTGCATTTTTAAATAGCCAAAGCAGGCTTTTTTTTTTATTTCTGCTCACTGCCCTGTAAACATTGCACTGGGCAGAGCCCGCTTGCTCATCTTACATGTATACATAGAAAACAGTAGACATAGGCCAGTCACTGAAAGAACTTACAATTCAAGGACATGAGAGGATTATAAACACAAGTCAACAAGTGTATGTTCCTATTGTATGTACAGTAATTATTTTTTTTCTTATACTGAAATACAAAATTTGAAATGGAAAGAAATTAAAATAAACACAAGTCAAGGCTGACAACACCAGCATCCCTAGAAATCTGTAAGACTCTAAGAGGCAAGCTCCAACATTGAAAATATCAGCTATGTGGTTTTGCATATTAACAGTCTTGGGTTATAGAAGCCAATTCCAGAAAACAGTAGGTCCCCCTGCACTCCTTACAGCGCTTACGGTCCAAGTGAAAATAGTGGTGCGCGCAGTGACAATCACGGATGGCGCCGTGTACAACACATTTCATTTATGGAGTGCTGGTGATTTCTATCGTTCATTGGGTTATAGGAGGACTTGTCCATTTGTGACCCAGACCCCAAAGCATTAAAGCAGATCTAAACTAGGGTTACCATTAGTCCCTTTTTCCCGAGGACACTCCCCATTTGGAGAGGTCTGTCCCAGGAAAAAGCAACGCCCCCAGTGGCGTCCCCTGCGACAGTGAACTGCAGTTATATACAGCCAGATTTTTTCGTACTGTGATGGCTGCCTCTAGGGGTTGTGGTTTTATGAGTGTGGTTACAATTGGGGTGTGGTCAGGAGGGTGTCCCCAGATTCCATTTTGAAAATCTGGTAACCTTAATCTAAAACTACTCATTGAATCTTACAAATAATCATTAATATGTTCATGTAATTTCAAAAGTTTTTTCAGTGTTTTTAAATCTGCAGCTTAAATCAATACATGGTGATCCTGCCATGAAGGTCCTTGGAATTCAGGAGCTTCCTGTTATAGGGTGACAACTCTCTTCTAATTGTTCCCTTACCTTGTCACTGTTACACAGTCATTACCAATGGAGACTACCAGCAGCAGTACTGATGTACATTGCATATCGCCCAACTTTCTGCGACGAGGAACACCTTCCAGCACAATGTATTTAAACAATGGACACACCCCTGCCATATACCGAGTTATGCAGACAATTGGTTAAACCCAGAATTTGTTTTCACTAGAGGAGGCTAGTAGCAAAGAAATGATGGAAAAGAAAAAATTGATGAAAGTACATGTTATTGTACAAATAGGCAGTTGTAAAACTCCCTTATAACTCCAGTCAAACTCTCAAACAATTACCTTTTTTGCAAGTCAGCAGTGCCCCGATTAATCCACTTGCAATATCTCTGGGGGCATCGGTATGGGAGTGGTAGATCCATGTCAGACAGTTTGGGTCTCCACTGGTGGGTGCATGTTCCTTAATAACGATCCAGGTGTAGGTGTGCTGTCCACCAGGAGGGACTGCATCATCACCTTTATCTGATTTGTGGGTTCCGTCTGGATAAAAAGCCCCTAAAATGGAACACAAAGTATTTATAGCAAAATAATTCATAAAATAAGGTGAAACCATTGGCTTAAAATAAACCTGCCATAATGGGTTTTTTTTCCAATTAACCTTGTAGGCACCATCAGGTGTCAGTAAAGTGTAGTAGGAACCCTATCTTAAAATTTGACAACAACATGTCCTTGGGTCATCTAAACATGGGGATACAGGCCTTTACCTAGTGCTGGTAAGGGCCGGGACGTCTTCATTCTATTAGAAGTCATTCAACGGGATATGGACATAGAACTAAGAGCGTCTCAACCTCCGACCATTCTCTATTCTTTCCTGTCACTGTTTTTATCACATATAGGCATGTTTAGGCTTCCCAAGTGCACACATTTTACTGAATGGAGAGAGCCATGTAAGCAGAATATAAATAGAAAGGTCACCAGTACTCCAGGGTCCCTTCCTCAAGGTCACTGTGTTGTCTTGAGAAAGGGACCCTGTGTTGCCCAGAAAAGGTGGCTCTAGGACCTCTGTGTGATGCTATGAAAAAAAAAAAAACTGATTCTTTCATCTTGTGCTGGTGAACCTTCTCCTTTTTGTGATTGGAACTGTACGGCGCCATCCTAAGTTGTCACTACAAGCACCCTTTCTTATTGCTTTGGTCACAAGGTGGCATGGAGTGCAGCTTAATATGATATAATTTCAAGCAGAATGTAAAACTAGTCTCAGGAGTCCTGAGGATGCTTAGGATCTGCCATTTACATCCAGATCAGGTGACTGCCTGCACTTCCCCTGGCCTTGTTCAGCTGAACATACACCCTTAGGTATCCTAGCCATGTCTGCAATCACCCTCTTAAGTTAATCTGCAAGAAGCAAAGAGGAGATATATCAACAAATGAGTCAGCGGAAAGGTGAGTATAGTCCTATATTATTATTCAGGATTTATATAGAGCCAACAGTTTGCACAGCGCTTTACAATATAAGGAAGACATTACAGTTACAATCCAATTCAAGAGAAGATGGTTAGGAGGGCCCTGCATTAAAGGGGAGCTTCCACCTTAGTGGCAAGGTCCGCTTATTCAGGTTGCTTCCCCTCCCTATATCACTGCATAAAAGTACCTGTGGGAAAATATTTGTTTTATAATTTACTTTTACCTTTCCCCGACTTCCTAGAGGTACTTTTATGCAGCATTTTTAGGGAGGGGGAGGGGTGGTACCTTGAATAAGTGGACTAAGATAGACGGTCTGCTTTACCATACAAAGTAATCCTGTGCTGACAGGGTCACATAAGTGAATATTAAAAAAATGTTGACAGGCAGCTTTTTATGAGAGAATTCCATAATTACTTCTCTCTGCCTGCAAGCATTTTTTTCAAGGTGCACAGTGAGCCCCGTATGCACCGCTCAGTATACAGTCCTGGCCAATTATTATGGTTGAAGAATCTAAACACTGAAAACACAGAAGAAAATAGGGAAAAGAAGGAAGTGCCAAGGGGTGCTTTGCAAAGTAAGTCTGCCATAATCTGCAAATATGCTGAGCACACTTGTACATTATTTATATGCAGTTAAGTTCTGCTTTAAATTTGTCGAAAGTCAGTGATTGAGTACTGCAGCCAAAGCAATCAGCATGGCCGCCAGACAACTAGCATTTTCAGAAGGAGAGGTCAGCAATGGCAGATTCCATATTCCTCCCCTTTAAAGTGAAACTGTGGCAAAGCTATGGGAGTTCAAGAGGTTGTTGTTATATATTTTTTAACAATCAGTAGATAAGCTTTAAAACAAGATATATATATATATATACTCTATATATATATAAAATGTATATATACATATGTATATATAGATACTGTACATATTAGGGATGCACTGATACCATTGTTTCAAGACTGATTACGAGTATCGATACTTCTCCTCAAGTACTCGTCGATACCAATTACGACACCTTTTTTTGTCATGTGACAGTTTTTCTAAAACAGTACAGACGAATGTGCTCTGGTAGTTCTGCCACTGACTCCAAGCTGTAGAGGGACTACAAATCCCAGCAATATATTTCACATAATGCAGAAAATTATGAAGCTATACACTCTGTGTTGCTCACCAGGTATGTGCAGAGTTGGGCTGTGTGCGGCCTGATCAGGGCTGTGCGGGGTCTTACCAGGGCTGTGCGGGGTGTTACATAGTTACATAGTATGTGAGGTTGAATAAAGACATATATCGATCAAGTACAACCTATTTGTGTATGTGTGTATGGTCCTATTGGTGTGTAGTATGTGTAGGTCCCTTGTGTGTTATCAATTTTAAGAGTACTTGTACCCCTGTATATTACGGTCCCTGAGGAAATCGTCCAATCGCCTCTTGAATGATTCCACACGTCTCAGCAGGGCCGTGCAGGGTGTCAGGAGGATGTATGGGGTCTCACCAGGGCTGTGCTTGATCTCACCAGGGCATTGTGCTGTCTCACCAGAGCTGTGCTAGGTCTCACTAGGGCTGTGTGGGTTGCGTTAAGAAGAACAAAGAGGAGATGTGTGGCTGGTGCTGTTAACAGTACAACAGCAAAAAAAGATGTGTGTAAACAGCCACCGTGAGGTCCGCAGAAGGCTGCCGTGAGGTCCCCAGCAGGCGCGGGACCTTAGGGCAGCCAAATGTATTAAAAAATTTAAATGCCAGTATTGGTGCTTAGTATTGAGCATTTTCATGAGTATTCGTGGAAATGCCCAGTATCACTGCAAAATTGTATACATAATTACATATCAAGAATCAATGTGAAGACGCCTACCCTCTGAATCCTTCTTATAGAAGACCCCGTGTGGGTGTAATGTGTATGGCCGGGAAGCCAAATTCTTCAGATGAACAATGATAGTGTCTTCAACCTCGGCCTTTATAATGGGGCCCAGGAACCCCAACCATGCTGGCTTAGTGACTTCTTCTGTATAATAGGAGTTGGTGTACTGTCTGTAGATGGCTTTCTTATAGACTCGTCCTATTCTTTCTGCACCCTGTTCCAGGAAAGTGGAAGCGTCTCTGGTAAGAAAAGAATGAAAAATAGTTTTGCAACATAATTATGAGCAACTTAAGAACATTTTTACAGGATTTTGCAAGAGCTAAAGTGACCAGTACTTCTTGAAGGAGGAGAGGTTATGGAGATGAAAAGGGGGAGGGGGAGGAGGAGGGGTTATGGAGATGAAAAGGGGGAGGAGGAGGGGTTATGGAGATGAGAAGGGGGAGGGGTTATGGAAATGAGAAGGGGAGGGAGATGAGGAGGGGGATGTAAATGGAAGGGGGAGGGAGATGAGGAGGAGTTATGGAGATGAGGGGGGTTATGAGGATGAGGAAGGGGGAGGGAAATGAAGAGTGGGGAAGTGATAAGGAGAAGTTATGGAAATGAGGAAGGGGGAGGGAGATGAGGGGGAGTTATGGAGATGAAAAGGGGAGGGAGATGAGTGGAGGTATGGAGAGTAGGAGGAGTTATGGAGATGAAAAGGGGGAGGGATATGAGGAGGAGCTATGGAGATGAGGAAGGTGTAGAGAGATGAGGAGGGTTTATGGATATATGGAGGGGTTGGAAGATATGGAGGGGTTATGGAAGTGAGGCGGTGGGAAGGAGTTGAGGAGGAAGGAGGGGTTATAGAGATGAGAAGAGAGGAGGGAGATGAGAAGAGGTTATGGAGATGAGGAAGGCGGTGGAAGTAGAGGACGGGTTATAGAGATTAGAAGGGGGGTGGGAGATAAAGGGGGATAATGAGGACGAGGAGAGGGCTGTGATCTTTGTAATGCATCAGAAATAAGGTAGGCAGGGCTGACACTACATGCTTTGGAATGCAGAACCAAAAATAAACTGAAGGGAATTCATAAAAACTGGAGCAGACAAAATCTGGAGCAGCTGTGCATGGCAACCAATCAGCTTCTATCTTCAGTTTGTTCAGGTAAGATTTGAAAATTAAAGAGAGAAGCTGATTGGTTGCCATGCACAGCTGCTCCAGATTTTGTCAGATTTCTATCAAGCAGTAGATATAGGCAAACAGTTTTTAAAAAAACGCTAAAACAGCGGTTTAAACATACCTTTTTTTCTTTGCGCGCTCCCGCGCCGAGAATCAGGAACTGCTCGTATGGCCGCAAAGGATCTTGGGGCGGGCGCATGCGCATACGCAAGGTAAGTCTATGGACGCGTGCACCCGCATGCAGACACCGCTGGATCAGAAGTGCCTGCAAGCAGAGAGGTGTCAGCGCTGGATCGGAGAGTCGCCGCAGCGCTGGAGGGACAGATGAAAACATCAGGAAAGAAGAAGGAGATCGGATTAAGAGACATCATAAGGTAAGTGCTTTAATTAACATGGGGGGGAGGGGAAAAAATGTGACTTTAATGTCTCTTTAAGTGTGCTCCGCCTTTCTATTTTGTTATGTATACTGCCTGGACAAAATAAAAAGTCACCACCTGGATTTGGATAAGTAAATAGGTCAGAGTCTTCAATTGGATGATAGGTCTGGATTCAGCAACGTTATATCCCCAAAAATAAGGTCAGCTGCCACCTGAATATACTGAATGACCAGGTTTTTCCAGCAATGGATTTTGTCTTCCCTGATGGCACATTGGGCATGACAATGCCAGGATTCATCGGGCTCAGATTGTGAAAGAGTAGTTCAGGGAGCATGAGACATCATTTTCACACAGGGATTGAGTTATTCAAACAATTGTCAGCTTTTAATTCCTGTTGTGTATTCGAGCCAAGGAGTAAGAAGAATCTCCAGCAGGGACATTGGGCAATAACTCAAAGCACTAAATCCAATGGATCAGAATAACAGGCAGGAAGTAGGCACTTTCAGATGGCAAGGTTGGGTATTGTAGCCAAAAAAATTATTTGAGATTCCTCTAAAAAAAGTTTTACGTTGAGTTTTACTTTAAGTCACCCCTTCATTATGCCTGTCAACTGACATCATCCAATCAAAGGGCAGGATTCTCCTCCCGGGAGAAGACCCCCCAAACTCTACCCCACACATGGCTCTGCCACCATAAGGGGAACCCTATCACTCTCTTAGGGCTTGTTCACACCTGCACTGTTTTGCATTGTGCATCTGTGCTATGACGATGCATTGTAAAAATGCATTGCAGTGTTTATGTTTTGTTTTGTTTTTTTACTTAAAGGAGAACTATGAGGTGAGTGCTAGTCTGCTCCTGCACAGTAGAGACATAAAAATAATAGATGTGAACTCCGACACTAAAATCTTGTATAAGCTTTAACATGTTAATAGATTTCAATATGTCTTAATCTGTCTTAGTCGGATTAATGTCTTAATCTGCAGCCCCTATTAAAATAATATCTGGTGATCCTGCCAAGGAGTTGGGGCACTTCCTGTTATAGAGTGACAACCATCTGTCCCGGTCTCCCAATTGTGCTCCTGCGTTGTCACTTTGTCACATGGGTTTCCAGTAAAGACAAGTGGCCATTTCAACACAGATATAATACTGGCAAGTTCCACTCTGGTTACCATCAGGAGAACTTCCCTAAGAAATTCCATACAGTCATCCCCTATGGACACTACAAGTGCTTCTTCATCACTATCGTTTATTTATTCTGCCTCTGTAATCATTGTTTGTTACAGAGTAGACAAACAATAATGAATTCTCTGTTTTTCCTGTGCACCATGCTTTGAATGCTAATAGCCAGCAGAAGACCCAATGCGTCTTGTGCTTCAATGCAATTTCCTTCTGAAGCAATAAAGCAAAGAAGTCATAATATATCCTCCAATCACTCAGGATAATGATATCTGTTATCGGATGAGTCAATATCTGTCTAGGGAACCTGTATACAAAATTCTCAGTAGTGTCAACCTTTGGGAAGTTTCCTCCTTCCTCCCTTCTTCCTCTTCCCATCTCCAAGCTAGTAGACGAACAGTTGCTGGGACTCTGTCCCTTGTGATCTTGTACTGGACAGGACATACGGGGAAATGGAGCCGAGAGAGTTGGAACTGTTCAAAAATGTAACTGTAAATGCTTGGGCGAAAATGTAAAGAAATACTTTGCTGGGCAATGTATATGTGTTTGATCTGGATTCATTATTGAATAAAAGTTTAAGGGTTTAATATTACTTTAAAGCTGAACTCCAGGCAGCTACCCTGTTTCCCCGAAAATAAGACCTACCCCGAAATTAAGACCCAGTACTATTTTTGGGAATTGCTAAAATATAAGACCTACCCCAAAAATAAGACCTAGTTGTGACCATTCCCAGGGTCGGTGGCGGCATAAAGGGGAACTTGAAGAGCCGCGGGAGAGGCAGGAGAGAATCAGCGGTGCCAACTAAGACAGCACTAGAGGAAGCGAGGCGGCACCGGAGGGAGCAGAGCCGCATAAGCCGATGCCTCCTCTATAGCGCCGCCTCCTGTCACAGGCGGAGTGATACCAAATGCACTCCGCCTGTGAGGAATCGATAGTAAAAGTGCGCTTCGCTCATTCTGGCCAGCGATTGGTTAGCAAATTGCTCTTGGAAAGGTACGGCACCCCTGATCACCATATTCTTAACTTTGCCATTTTGGATTATTTAATTTGGATTTGCGTTAACTTTCGATTGTTGTACAAGACCTACCCCGAAAATAAGACCTAGTGTGTTTTTTGAGCCAAAAAAAAAATAAGACAGTGTCTTATTTTCGGGGAAACACGGTATTTGTAAAAGCAGCTAGTGAACGTGCCTGAATTGAAGTTGGTATCAGTCTCTTTTTATCTCCAGCACTGCAGCCCTTATAGTTAGGAAGTGAGGGAAAGCACTGGGTTACAATTAAGGTGCACACACACCTTGCGATAATCGTACGATTATCGCGGGAAATCCCGCGATCGTGCGATTATCGTAAGGTGTGTGGAAGCCGCGCGACCTCTACTACTGTAAGGTCGCACGACTTTTATCTTAGGAACATGTTCGAAAACCCGCCGAGCATCGTACGATATTCGGCGGGTGTGCAGCATGTTCGTAAGATAAAAGCCGGACGGGCCGGTGTGCTCAAGCGCACACTGCCCGTTCGGCATTGCTGCCATCGGAAGCCCGCCCCTCACGGGGGCGCGGCTTGCGATCATCACAAGTACGATCTGCCTGTCCAAGATAGGCAGATTGTACGTTTTTTTAATTACCTTACAACCATCGCAAGACTTTTGTGCCCAGCCTTAGATGTGCTGCATGTGCATGTGCTAATAGGGGGCCTGCTAACAGGAGGGGAAAGCCCTTTGTATATTTCCTTCAGTTCCGTGCAGTAATCCAGCAAGCAAAAACCTCTGTACTTTGTGCAAGGGTTTCCTGTACTAAGACCGGTCACTGCTGCTCTCACTCCTTGCGCAGGGTGACTGGTCTTGTATCCACTCCCTCCTACAGTCTTCTGCAGGCAGCCTGATGTGGGTGGAGCCTGCTGGGCCCCTCCCACAGCTCTGCTCTCTGCACATGTAATATCTTGGTTTGCATAGACACAGAGAGAGGATTCATTTCATTTGTGGCTATTGTGAAATATATTTAAATGAAAATGTTTGTGCCCGAAGTACAGCTTTGCAAGTTTGTTCCCATGACTATTTATGCTATTGTTTGTGAGAAAGCAAGATCCTTATTGCTGATACCCAGAAAACCAGGTGTATGTCATTGAAAGATACCAAGCCACCCTAATACAGGATATCAGGACCAGTGCATCTTCACTCCATAGTAATTTCTGACCGCAAAATAGCACAAACACACCTGAATATACAGTAAAGGGAAATCCCCCATCCCCCACTGGGAAATCCCCAGCATATTTGATGTTTGCTTTGGCATTCCTTTCAGCTGGGAATACTCAATGGTCTGGAAGCAATTTGCTAAAGCAGATGGATTCACACAAAAGCTGTTCTCTGGCCTCTGGGTCTAGACTGACAAGTGACACATTCATGGCTTTGGTCATGGAGCCTGGTAAACATTTCTATAGTAAACACAAGTCAGCATCTCCGTACATAGCAGTACTGAAGTCTACAGGCTGCATAATTCATGTTACTACACGTTAGATCATGAACTACCCGTCTA